CTCTGGTTTCCTCTAAACTTGACGTCTCCTCCAGATCTAAGTTCCAGGCTTTGGAACATAGACCTTCTTCCTGTCATGTGACACGAGCAACCAGAGTTTAGGTACCAAGATTGGTGTTTTGACTTTGCTGCTAAAGATGCCTGCAACAGATATTATTTTGTCTTTAGGTACCCAAATCTTTTTGGGTCCTTTACGGTTAGTTGCCTTAAAGTTTTGTCTGAACTTCTGTCTTCTGACAGCAGATTTGTTCTGACTAACTTTAGGTTTAAACACAGGAATGTTCTGACCAGAACGTGTGTGTTTAATATCATTAAGATGACCATACTTAAAAGTAGAATACAGAGGAGTATGCTTAATGATTAGTTTATCAATAGATGTTAGATTTAAATCTTTCTCAGAAGAAGATTCATATCCAATACCCTTCCTGTTATTTCAGCTTACACCATAGATCATTGAAGCCATCTTGCTTCTCTCTAGGCTTCTTGTCAGAAACTTCTGAAAACTATAGTCATATTCTTCTAACATATTTTTAAATTTTGACTTAGTTTCAACTTCAGAATCTTGTTGAGCTTTTTCTAATTCATTTTTAATTTTCAAATTGTTTGCTTTGAGCTCAGCAATTTCTGATTTCAGAAGATCATTCTCAGATACAAGATTGTTTTCACGCTTCTTGTATTTGAGCTTAATCTTACTATAGTTTTCCAACATTTCAGATAAACTCTCAATAAGTTCTGCTCTAGAAAGTTCAGAAAATACCTCCTCAGAATCTGATTCTGAGCCAGATGTTTCTGCATGGTCTTCTACATCAGCCATGAGTGCCATGTTTACACATTCTTCTATTGAGTCTGATGAAGATTCAGATGCATCTGAATCATCCCAGGTTTCCATCAGAACTTTCTTTTTATGATCAGACTTCCTTCTTGGGTTCTCCTTCTGAAGCTTTGGGCATTCATTCTTGTAGTGCCCTGGTTCCTTGCATTCATAGCAGACAACCTCTTTCTTTCCAGATCTTCTGTGTCTAGAAGACTCTTTACATTGATCTGGTTTCCTGAAGTTTCTGAATTTCTTCTGCTTATGCTTCCAGAGTTTGTTGATTCTTCTCGACACCAGGGACAATTCATCTTCTTCTTCAGAAGAAGATTCTTCAGAACTTTCTTCTAAAACCTGCAAAGCTTTGGCAGATTTGTTAGACTTTAAAGCAACAAACTTACCTTTTTTCTGGGGTTCGTCTTCTTCTAGTTCAATCTCATGACTCCTTAAAGAGCTGATCAGTTCCTCCAGCGTGATCTTGCTCAGACCTTTTCTAGCTTCAGGGCAGTGACCATTGGTCTCCATCTGATTGGCAAACTTCTGATGATCTTCTTAACATGATCAACAGTGGAGTAACCCTTGTCCAGAACTTTCAAGCCAGTTGTGAGAATCTGGAATCTAGAGAACATAACTTCTACAGATTCAGATTCCTCCATTTTGAAGGCTTCATATTTCTGGATCAGCGCCAGGGCCTTGGTCTCCTTGACTTGAGAATTCCCTTCATGAGTCATCTTCAAAGATTTAAACATACCAAATTTTGTTTCTCTGTTAGTAATTTTCTCATACTCAGTATGAGATATAGCATTTAGTAGTATAGTTCTTGCTTTATGATGATTCCTGAATTCTTTCTTCTGAGCTTCAGTCATAGATTTTCTGTCTATCTTTTTGCCATCCCCATCAGTGGGGTAAACATATCCATCAATGACTAAATCCCAAAGGTCAGCATCATATCCTAGAAAGAAGCTTTCAATTCTATCTTTCCAGTAGTCAAACTTCTCCCCATCAAACATAGGGGGTTTAGTGTTGATTCTATCTCTGTCCTCATATCTGTTGTTATTGGATGTTGAAGCTTCAGCCATAATGTATCAACCAAAATATATCAAGAGTTTTCTCAACTGGATCTTTTCTGTTCACGGTGAAGTGAAAGCACTAACAGAACCGGAGCTCTGATGCCAACTGAAGGTGAGAAAAACGCTTAGAAGGGGGGGGGGGAGTTGAATAAGAGTTTTGAAATAATTTTGGTAATAAAAACAACAAATATTTTTATCCTGGTTCGTTGAACTCAACTAATCCAGTCCACCCTATCAAGGTGATTTGCCTTTCTCCACAAGGACTTAATCCACTATATTCAAACAGATTACAGTGTCAAACACTAAGAACAACTGTCTTAGTCTTCTCAAAAAATCCTGACCACAACTTGGTCTTCTTAAGGAACCTTTTACAAAGAGTTAAACTAACAAATGTGTTTGAGTTTGCTTCTGACAAGCTTTAATCACAACTATGATTGTTTACACAAGTATTATGAACGAATGATAAAACTATTCAGCTTTGAATTATTGTATGAGAGTTGAGAATATTTTTAATTGATTCAATTTCGTCAACTTTGAAGAGATGTAAAAGATGTCCTTTTATAGTGCTGAAGGTCCAATGCTTGAAGACTGTGCAAGTAGAGTAGCTGCAACCTTTTGTCTTCATATGACTTTTTCTTTCTCAGAAGTGGAATATTTAGAGAAATGCCTTTTGCCTGAATCCCTGTGTCTATCATAAATAAGGAATAGTTCCGTTGGAGAGGACGTTGAGAATAATACCAAGTCTATTCACATGCTGACATCTTTTCAAACGTAAACAACATCAGATCCTCTGACGTGCTTCTTGTTCTTCAGATCAGATTCAATGATATCAGAGTTGCAAATTTAGTGCTTCAGCGTGAGTGATATGATCAGAGCATACTTGTTTATCAGAGCCTCTGTACTTGTAGCGTAAAGTACATTCAGAGTTTTCCGAAACAATGCTTTAAACTCTTCATACAAACTCTTCAGCTATGCTTCAGATGCTTCTGCAGCTTCTACTACAGTCTTCTGCAGCTTCTGCTTCAGAGTCTTCTGATGACTTGCTTCTGATGCTTCAGAGCTTTGCGTAGAGTAATGTTCAGATGCATTTTTGATTCCATAAGAGTATTTAATTCAATATCTGGAACACAAAACACTTGAACAAAATTAGAGTATATATTTTCTTAATACATAATTTCATTAGTGTTATCATCAAAACATAAAGATATATTGAACATCAATTTGTGTTCTAACACTCTTCTCATCTCAACCTTCTCTGAGACACTTAATAAAGAATGACAAACATTGTATGCTACGAGCCTTAAGTACATGGGGAATGATGAGTGAGGGGTTTCTCCTCACTTGTCTAGAGTGTTTAGTGTATGCCCTTCGGGCGATATGCGACACATTCGCTCCTATGTCATAGTCTTTAGTGCAACATGAGTCTCAAGCTAACTCAATCCACTTCACTAAAACTCATAAACCAAATTTAAACTTTTTTATCCTTCAGGATTGTTCTTCAAATCATTTTCAGAAAAAGGGAGTGTTATTTTTCCGTTCTACCGTAAACAGGCATCGTCCCTAACTGTTGGAATAGAAACTTAATGTCACTCATAAAAAAACACTTAACCAACCTGTGGTTTCGTTTCCCGAACTACGTTTGCTCTGATTTCTCATACCAGATGAGGATACGTAGGCATAAGATGACAATGTCTTGGCGAGCAACCTTTCCCCCATCTCCCCTAGTTTCTCGAACTACGTTGACTATGACTTTCCCATCGCACGAGGGAATACGTAGGCATAGGACGACGATGTCCTATCGAGTCTCTTCTTTTCCTTTTCCCCGGTTTAGCAGTAGCTTTTAGATAACTCACCCTTTTTATAGACAACAAGCGTGGATCCCGTTGAGTACAACGAACGTGAGGGGTGCACATACCTTCCCTTGCACAACCGACTCTCGAACCCAAGATTTGGTTGCGATGACCTTGTCTTCTCCCGTTTTTTTAAGGTTTTCTTCGATTGTTTCCTTTCCCTCTCTTTGGGATAAATAACGTTCGATGGTGACTCTTCTGTTTGTTTTCCGCCGGCTCTTTTCGCAGTTGCGACAGGTGGTACTTCATTGGATTTTGGTTTTAACTCGATCATAGAAGCAGAAACCATGGTCTTAAAAGAAGCGATCCAAGTAGCCATCCAAATGCATTTGAATTATGTAATTTTTGAAAATGACTCTCAAATGGTGGTTCACGCTATCCATACAAACTATAGTGAAAACTCTGAATTTAATATCATTATTAGATCGATTAAGATTTTATTACAATGTATTCTCAATTTTGAGGTAAAGTTTGTTAAGCGCTAAATAAACTCAGTTATCCACTTGTTAAAAAAAACCGACAAATTCTTGATCTAGATGTAGTTTCAATTGATAAATGAAATGCGATAAACTTGCTTGATTTAAAAAAAAAAAGTTAATATACTATTGTTTTAAAATTATAATGAGAACACCATATCTTCAAACACATTATCTTATTGAGTAAAAGTTGTATAAATTGCAATAAATTTATGAAATCCACATAATTTAACTTAAACATATGAATTTAAAATATTATAAAGAGAATAAGTGTTAGAGGCTAAGTCCCTTCCTTATTTTAATTTATTTTCTCACAAATTATTTTTTTTATATATTAAGAATTCGAAATACCTTAAATTTTAAATCCTTATTAAAATCAATTGATATTTCTTTGGTTCTGTTGTTGGAAGGATAAATTCCTGCGAGTTCAAATTATATCTAAAACGAAAGAAAATTAATATTTACATATTCTAAACACAACCCCTAGAAAAATACAAGAACAAAAACCCAAATCTCATCACCTTAAATAAAAGAATTAACTATTTAAGCAAAAATTTCTAATAAAAAATACTAGTGTTGAAAAAATGTACTATGTTATAAATTGTTGTTAATAATAATCCTACTCCTCAAGTGGAAAATTGCATAAATATCTCTATATACCATTTTAAAAACCCTTGTTAAAGTTTGAGCCCATTAATCAAAATCAAAATATTTGCTTAGTCCCTTTGGCGCTTTCTCTTTTCTACAAAGCTTATGCAGTTACAAAAAAAGCACCAACTTTCTTCAACACAAAAATGGACGACCCTTTGGATTTCGAGGTAGAAGACGACCTTCTCGTATCCCTTCCAATCAACAACAAAAGGTATTCATACTCCAACTTTTCAAGTTTCAATCTTACCAATTTTCCCTTTTTTTGAGTTTAGGGTTTTATAGTCTGTTTTCAAATTTTACCGAATTTCCCTTTTTTGAGTTTAGGGTTTTATAGTTTGTTGTCAAATTTTACCATTTTATTTTTGAGTTTGTGTTAATCAGGAAGAAAGTTATTGGGTTGGATGATCTTCTTAATGATCACTACAAGGAACAGGAAAAGCTTTTAGAGAAACAGAATAAGCAGACAAAGAAGAAGGCTAAGGCAAAGGAAAAAAAGAAATACGACGACGAAGATCGTAGGGAAGCTGCATTGGTTCGGATTGTTGAGAAATGTCACAATCAGGCATAATTTTTACCTTGTTCTTACTTGTTATTACTTTTTTTTTTTTGGTAGTTATGTTGCTGATTACTATTGTGTTCTTATCCAGTTGAAAGCTTTTGGAGAAGAAAATGAAATTCATGTTTGGGGGGTTTACGTTTTTGGCGAGCAGGTCCTTATACTGAATCAAATGCTCAGTAGTTGTAGATATATGGTTGTTTTTATCTCTTAATTGTTTGCATAGTTAAGATTATTAATGTTTGCATTGTGTGCTGCAGAAGCCTTTTCCTGCTTTGGACATTCCTGAGCTTGGAAGTTGTAACTTCATACAATCTTTTTTGAACAACAGACTAAACTCCTTGGTCGGGTTGACTGCAGACAAAGGTTGCTATAATCTCATTTTTATGTGTTTTTCAATTCATAATTGAACCCTCTTTCTTGAGTATTGCAAAACATTTTAAACAACTAAATTAAGCCGTATTTAAGTCTTGTTTGGATAAAAAACTTAATTAAACGCTTATAGCATTAATGCTTATCATGTGAGTATTTGTCCATAAGTTATTTCTATAACAAAAGATAAAATAAATTCAAACTGTTTCCACAAGCTATCCTAGGTAGCTTATGAAAATACGTTGAAACCAGCTTTTGGACATGTTATAGTTTGTTTCATAAGCTCTCCCTAAGAGTATCACAAATGTGATAAGGTCAAATAAGTCAATCCTAAGAGGCGGTTATATGAGGATGTGGCTTATATATGCTATCAGATGAATCTGACTTATCTGATTGTAAGTTGTAATCTCAGTTAATACTGTATGTTATTTCAGGAGATAATTTTCTTGAAAGGTTATTAGTCAATGGTTGGCTTTCAAAATTAGCTTTCCTTTCCGGCCTTGTTGAAAAACCTGTAGCTATTTGTGCCTTCAACACAAGTGAGTAAAATCATGGCTTCTTTCATGTTTATAATGAGAGCATGATTGTCACGTATCTGTTTTGCTGTTATTTCAGTGTTATACTCATCAAAAGAAGAACTACAAAATTCTTCTAGTGATTATTGGTGCACAATTCTCTCTTCTAGAAAGGAGGTAAACTTGTTTGTTATGTTAGCCTTGAGCAATGTACCGTCAATAGAAATGATGGCCTGGTATGTTTATCTCAATGCTTTTATACTTCGATGATAGTAAATTGTTACTAATGTTCATTCTTTACCAGGTTGATCAACTTTCTGTCAAAATTGATTGGTTTCCAGAGTACTCAGATTTGAGAAGCGCTCTTAACATTTACGGGTTCCTCTTTAAGTTTTCATCCAATGCCGAGCATGAAAGTTCAGGTATCTCTTGCTTATCTATGCATTGTGGGAGACATATTTTATTTCTGCAAGAGATGTGGATATGTTGAGTTTCAGCACAATAGATCCAAAATATTTTTATATTTTCCATTTCATGAATATCTTATTTCTTTTTCAATTCCACTTAACTTAGAGATGTTTGCATTATTGAAATTGGAATGCAAATATCTTGCCATAACTTTTACCATGCTTCTAAGAACAATATATGTCATTGTATTTAGATTCTAATCATGGAGGTCCACCCCAAAATATTAGAGCTTGGATCAGATTTGTCACTTCTTGTTGTCGGATAAGGTAAGCATCAGCAGTGATTGTACGCCGGGAATAACCTACATGTTTTATCGATCATTTTTTTTATCGTTTGTTAGTTGTCACTTATCATCTGACAAGCTATAAAGTTGCATTGATTAGATTACTGTTGATAGCTGAAGTGAAGCATATTCTACGTATGATATTGGCAATTCATACTTCTTGATTTTAATTGCAGGAATACAAAAGCTTTTTTCACAACTGTAGAAGCCGAAGAGATAGTTGAAATTATTATCTGTCTATACCTAGATCGTCGGATTCAGGGGTTGTTGGTGCTTTTAAGTGACTGCATGCAAGCAACTGTCAATTACTTCACTGACCAAGAATGGTGTGCAAGTTGTGAAAACATAGCGAAGTTCATTGCTTCCAGGTCAAACTGAAGTGTGTTGATTCTTGATGATTATTTTCTAGTTCATGTCCATAAGCTATCGTCGCTTCATTTCTCTTATTCTTGCTGTCTTGGATCTGCAGAGTCTCAAAGGATTTGAATTGTATCCGGACTGTTGAATGTGTTTCAAAAGATAGTTCTCGTTGTAAGCAACTTAGGAGCGCTATTGCCTATCAAAACCTGCTTTATTGTTTTGACGAGGTATGATCCTTACCCCTGCCATCAAATTTATTTATGTTTGTACGTATAAAAAGTTTTGGTAGTGAAAACTTTGCATTACTTGATATTTTTTACAAACCCTTAATATCAACCATAGGGTTCAAGCTCGGGAGATGAGATATTAGAATGCTTCAGTTGTGATTTGTGATAGAAAAGCACGACTTTCACAACTATAATGATTAATGATACAATGAAATGCATTCTTGATTTATTTGCCGAAGTTTCATTTCATTTACACGTTCTTTCCTCAGGCCAACAGTGGAGAAGAGATCCTCAAATCACTTGATGCAATTAACTTCAAAGACAAAAGTTGCAATTTCTTCAAAATATACATTTACTTGGTATTGACAGAGAATTGGGTTTTGTCAAACAACTTGTTTGTTGAAGACAATCCAGTAATCTATGAGATGTTCTGTTCTTTTCTTAGAAATTGTTCTACCTTAATTTCAGCGACAGACCTACGAGCATACGCATCAAAGGTGAATGAAATATCTTATTTTAATCAGTTGATCTTGTTACGGTGTAATTTGACATAGATCTATAATTGTTACAGGTTCGTCACAGGGCTTCGTATCTTCTGCATTTCTACTTCTAAAAATGATCAGTACAATATCTTCAGTATCATTGCGAACAAACGTGAAGTAGTTGCTGCTACTTGTTGACCGGCATGAATCAAGATACAGAAAATTCAACTGCATATATATAATGTCTGTTAAAACTCATCTTTGTTGTAACTTCAATATTTGTATTCTTGGATTTTTAACCAGTATGTAGATTCGTTATGAAATTGTCTGCATTTTGAATGACTTGAAAATGTATTTATAAGTTAAGTAACTTGCTATATATCGAGTATTAGTTACTAATTTTCAATTTTACCGTACTTTTGAAGGCAGTTTTAGATACTTTGAAACAAGTGTGTTTTATTCACAATATATAACTACTTTTTAAAGTAGAAAACCAAACTTATAAAGATCAAATGCTCTCGGTATCATAATATATTTTTCTTTTGCAATTATTTTATGCCAATTAAATTGTTAGTATCAATTTTTAATGCAGTTTTAATTGTTTTTTCCTCTTTTAATTATACAATCTAATTAATACTATATATTATTCTTAAATTATTATTTTCATTGAAAATAATAAAAAATATCAATGATTAATGAAGATACTTTCATAATTTTTAATTATATTTTCTTAAACTAAAATATGTCAAATGCAAAACCTATTTTGACACATGGAAGGGCTTAAAGACAAATGTCATATTTATCTTGGGTTTGAGGAACCACAAAGAATGAGAGAGCCAATCGCTTGGACTCAACCATACATCAATTAAAAAGGTTTTGCTCTATTATCTTTAGGCTTTTTGAATCAAATGAAGAACTAATTATTTTGTAGCCCAACAACGTAACAACCAAAAGAAAGACTTTGGGTATCCATGATTGGTGATTATCTTGTAATATTGCTTAGATGAAATACAAAATGTTTATATAATTTACGAATTATCCAATAAAGAGGGAAACCATAAACATTTTTTAGAGATAAATCGGTGAGAATGTGATTTTGATGATAAATTAACTGTTGATCTAGACATATTTTTAAATCCTACTTTGGAAAAGAAATTTTTTCATATTCATGCTTTGATTTGATGATAATTATAATATTGATTATGAACTTACATTATAAAAAGAATCATGTCATAAAACAACCATTTTTCAAAAATTTATGATCGAGTCATTTAACTTCTTCTAAAACATGGATTTTGAATTTCTTTTGAACCATTTGAATGGATTTTGTTTGAGGACAAACAAAAAGATAATTTAGCGAGAGTTGCTAAGTGCAAAAAATATGTTTGTCGCGGTGAAAATCGGATACCAAACTATTAATTAGTTTGAATCTTTAATTCATTTTGCAACCGAACTTTGATTTGTCCAAAGGAAGGGATAAAGATCGAAATTCCCACAATGCAATGCAAATGCAAGGTTTAAAGAGTTATAGGTTCGGGGGTTGGTTAAACTTAGGGAAGGTACTAGCATCCTAAGTTTCTGTAGTACTCTACAGGAACCTCTTGTTTTAATTTGTTTATTGCTAAGTGTTTATATCTGCTTAAGGGTTGAAGGACCTAGGGATTTATTTCTAAGTATACTCGATAAGATATCGCATCTTATGCCTACATATCCTTACGGGAGTGGAATCAGAGTATCTGTAGTTCCCCTAAAGGGTTTGAGGAGTTCTTTGACTGTGGTCAAAGTTCCTACGGGTTTAGGGTAGTTGTTTTGATTGGGTTTAGGAGAAGAGATGAGTCTTCATGTTAAGGGAGATGTAACCACCACAAGTGTAAAGGGGGTTATAGGAAAATAGTCTTTGCATCGTCTTAAGAAAAGGGCTTAAGTACTCGGATTGTTTGACGAGTATGCCTTTATCACTCTTAAGACAAAGTTCCTACATGTTTGATTGTATTATTGTGGGGGTGGAGATTATATCTCACTTAAGATGATTAACAGCTATTCTCTATTGTGTTTGAAAAAGTTGTATAGTGTTGTTTGTTTGTCTAAGTTGTAGAGATAATGGTCCTTCCTACGGGGTAGGATCTATCTTAAGCGATCAGCTTGAATGGAATCAAGGATCATGGGGAAATGATGCAAATGACGTGCACTACACACAATTGTTGAATCATGTGTAGGGTTTTCCTTTGGACGGAATGTGATGCGATAATGTAAATGCGGTAATATTAAATGACTGTAAAATAAATTGCGGAAATGTAAATCATACACACGCATGAAAGCGCTAAGTGTGAAAGTGTCGTGAAGTGAGATTTGCGTTGTTGGTTGATTTTAACTGTTCGACTTGTTTTTAGATGAGGTTGAATTATTTTTAAGTGGAATTGTTTGATTTTTAGGCGAAAATAAATATTAGTTTTGTGAGTTGGTTAAAAAAAAAGAGATGAGTTTTCTTATTTAAATAAATAATTTTTAAAAAGGTGGAGGGTTATTAATTAAGTTTTTAATAAATTATTTTATTAGACAGATTTACTATTGGTTATTTAAAGAAGTTGTATTATCCCGCCTTAGCAAAATTGTTTATTATCTAATAAAAGTTTAGTTATTATTATTAATAAGATTATGAAAATAAAAAGAACGTTAATACTTATTTTAAATAAAGTTAATTTAAATTATTGTTGTTATTATGAATTTGGTTTTTTACTAAATTATGAAATTGTTTTCCTTAAGGCTTTTAAATTAACAAGAATAATAATAAACAATTAAATTAAGATTTTAAAAGGTAAAACTAATAGTTAAGGGTTAATAATAAAAGGTTGTTTTGTGAAAAGGTTATAGTAAATTAAATAAATTAAAGAAAATCATTAGTTAATTTCTGAAAGTTGATTAATTTTAATAAAAAAACTGATTAGGTAATTAAGTGGGTTAACTGAGGGTTAAGGGTGGATGATTAGGTGTAGTGTGTGTATGGGATTATAGTGTCCGTGGGTGATTAACATGATTATAGTTATTACAGCAGTAAACAGAATAAAACAAAAAAAACAAAACCCTAATCCCCTAATTGGAAGCCCCTTCCCCCTAATTCACCGGTCTCGCTCCGCCGATTCTACTTGCCTCTCCCCGCTCTCTTCTTCATTAATTTTCCTTTCCATTTTCGCTTCTCCGATTTGATTTCTCTTCTTCAACTTCTTTTTGCTGTTTTACTCTTGTCGTAAACTTCGATAAAGCTTGGCTCAAGATTTGATAAACCATGTTGGGAAGGATTGGATTGTAAGTATCATCTCCACCTTAACATACCTGCACGGGCTGGTTAATCATAAGAAAAACGCATACAAGAGCATAGAGACGACACATAAAAAAATGCGCAAAAAGGGAGGGGATCTTATGGTCAAAAATTAGGGTGCAACAGATGCCCCTATTTAAGTTACTCCTATTTGGAGATGTGGAGATTAAAGTCTCCGTCTCGACTAGATAGGAGGGACTTAAATATAAACATTGCGCGAATTTTTTGGCCCTAAGATACCACCGAATGCATATGATATGGAAATGCAAGACAGACGGGTCCTGTGAGGACGTGATGTCACAGGGGGAACAACTAGACATAACATACAGGGAGAACAAGCTCGACATAAGGAGACTCCACGGGAACAGGAAACGACTGCCAAAGAGAAATCTCTGAAAGTACAACGGCAACTCGGACGCCCGGGATATGGTGACTTAGACGATAGGTGAGAAGCTTATTATCATAATGTAGTGGTTGGTAATGATCCAAATGAATTGAGTCAACGGTTCAGTTTTATTTTGGCATTTTTCTTTCTTTTCTCGTTTTTGTGTATATCTTTATCTTTGGGAACTCAACTTGAAATAATAAAATGTATAACTTCCCCGAGCGTCATGATAAGGGTACCATGAGCTGGTCTCGGTCTCTGCTTGAAATGTCAAAATCTTGTAGGTGGTAGAATCACTGTAGTTTGTAGATGTCGATGTAGATGTCGTTGTAAATGTTGTTGTTGTAGAACTTCCCCGAGCATCATGGTATGGGAACCATGAGCTGGTCTCAGTTTCTGATGTAGAACTTCCCCGAGCATCATGATATGGGAACCATGAGCTGGTCTCGGTTTCTGATGTAGAACTTCCCCGAGCATCATGATATGGGAACCATGAGCTGGTCTCGGTTTCTGATGTAGAACTTCCCCGAGCATCATGATATGGGAACCATGAGCTGGTCTCGGTTTCTGATGTAGAACTTCCCCGAGCATCATGATATGGGAACCATGAGCTGGTCTCGATTTCTGATGTAGAACTTCCCCGAGCGTCATAGTCTGGATGCTATGAGTTGGTCTCGGTTCCTTCCCGAAATGATGAAAACTCGTGAGAGCACCTTCATAGGGGGTTGTAATTTTGTAGATTGTAGATGTCGTTGTAAACTGTAAATGTAGTTCGTTGTAGAACCCTGTAGATGTAGTTCGTTGTAGAACCCTGTAGATGTAGTTCGTTGTAGAACCTTGTAGATGTAGTTCGTTGTAGAACCTTGTAGATGTAGTTCGTTGTAGAACCTTGTAGATGTAGTTCGACGTAATCTGTAGCTGTAGTTGTAAATTTGTAAATGTGATTGTAAATGTAGATGTAGCTTCACCGGGGATCTTCGGAAGAGATGTGAGCCGGTTGAATTGTAACGTATGTCTTCTCAAGTACGGAGACTATTGTGGTAAACTTCTTTGACTTCTCTGGGGAGATGCCACTTGACGGAAGTAAACTTGTGTGATGAACTCACTGGGGAAGTTATTCCTGAGAGAAATGTCTGTAACTGTCTAATGTTGAAGGATCCACTTATGGTAAATGATCTGTCTTGTGAAAATTGTCGTTTTGTCGTTTCGAATAAGATCCTAATCAAAACGAGTGGCTCAAATAAAGAGATTGATGTTCGATAAAATCCTGTGATGCCATTGTTGAAGAGATGTCTGTCCTTAGGAATATTCTTCCTGGGGAAAAGGGTGCAAAATAAATGCACTATTAATCCATGTTCAAAGGTTGGAGACGTCCACGATGTGATTGTCAAAAGACCAAAGTTCGATTCGGGAAGTAGCCGAAAAGAAAC